CGATAGGGACTAGAGAGCAGGATCTTAAAGGCTTTGTCTTTGGATGGTCGGGTAGTAATAATTCGGTGGGACCGAAAAGAAGATGAGGCATGTCCCGGGCAAACAATCGGTTAATGGCGTGAAGTGCTCGACAAGCCATTTCAGGTAAGCCCATCAGGCTTAATTTCTCTTCGAGATGAAGCGGCGGTCCTCTTCCTGCATCGAAGCAAATTCGCCAGGGGCATGCTGGACCGAGCGTCCGCCAGAATGCCGGGGAGTACGGATTGACTGACGACCTCGTGGAGTCTGGCTGAAGGACTGGGATTGGGGACGCGTACGGTTGGTGCGAGGCGTACTGGGAGCTCGGTTCCGTGGTGCAAAGAGGCCTGTGAAAGGGTCAGGGAATGTCCACAAAGCAAAAGGGTACGATATCTTACCTTGCTGAGTGGTGCTAGCAACCGAACGACGCAGCTTACTGGCATCATTGGGGCCGGGGAAAGCCGCTTCGCTGCCTGCACGAGGGCCGTCGATATGGAAAAGCTATATTCAGTCAATATCGGCACCGGAATGGGACCAAAAAAGAATCAAACTCACTCGAGGTCGCTCTTCGTGAGGCCGTGTCATAACGTTACTGTTCCGGAACTTGTTCACGAGAGCCTCTTTGCCTTGCAGTGCTATTGAAACTTGTTAGACATCATTCCCATTGACCATGGATGGGACACAAACTGGCATAAGAAACCTCAGCCCTCTTCTCGGAGATGCAGTCGGGCCTGTAATTGTCTCGAGTCAGCGAACGTGCACTTTTCTGGGGAGGATAGGGAGGATAGGGAGGAACATACCAAGTCTTGCCCTCTCGAGCGTGCACGAGCTAAGGGAAACTGGTAAGTAGACGTCATAGACTGACCCATGCGATAACTCACATCTATGATATCAATTGCCTGTAAATTATGTTAGTAAATATCGAACAGAGACGTCACATGGAAATAGAGCCAGCAGAAATACTCACATCACCGAAGTTCATAAACGCATAACCAACACTAAAAGTAAAAATGTAAGTAACATCGAAAGCCAGCAAAGAGCAATCAGAACTTACTTGCAACGATGGTTGAAATCTGTGGATTGAATTAGCTCGAACAAGCGAATAGATCATTTAGAAACACTTACCCATGCGCAGGTAGAGGAAGTCATACTTCCCATAACTGGACTCGTCGAGGATGCTCTTCAACTGGTCCTATTGAATGATCACATCGAATTAGGCTTATGATTTTCATAAGAAGGTCGAGATAATCATACCGAGGTTATCTTGTTGGGAATATTGCGGATCATGACCTGTAATGAGACATGTGAGAACTCGGTCTTGCAGCAGATTGAAGAAGGCTTACAGTGCTGCGGACATCTAGTCCTTGCCTGATTCGGTCGAGACTAATAGCATGCTCTGCACTCGTCTTACCCGCCTCAGAAACTGGAGAAATATCGATCTGCTCCTCGATCTCGTTCTCCTTGGACACGAGATGATACGGGGTCACAGGGCTCTGAGGGGAGCCAAAGCTGGTGGTTCGAAGGTGATACGGTGTAGGTATGTCTTCCTCTACAGGAATAGAGACATTGAAATGAAGACTCTGCAGAAAACCAATATTAGCAGTGCACTTTCAACACAAAAGCAGAAAAAAAAGAAGAAAAAAAAATACATCGAGCCTAAACCCACCGAGGCAGGAAAAAGCATAAGCCGCATGACGCTTGTTGAAATATTCAACCTGGTACCGACTCATGTTTGTTCCGTTCTCGATAAGCTTGCAAGAACGCAAGGTGCCGAGCGAAGAGAGCACGTGTTTAACAATATCTTCCATGGGTTCCATGAGCCACTGGCTTGGGATGGTGTACACAGAAAGCAGGAATACACCATCCTGAGGAACAGAGACAGAGCGAGCGGATCCAGCGGTCATATTGAAATTGGCAATTTCTTCACAACTGGCCGAGAAGACGCGCCACGACGGACGAGTTTGGCGAAGCTTGTTCATGGCGCGGATGGCCTCTCGAAGGTCGCCAAACGCAACAGAAAACACGCCCCTAGCCTCAACGTGCTTGAGACAAACATCCTCAATGGAAGGATATTCATTGATCTTGATAAAGTCAGCTTGGGTCCCATGATCAGGTTGGTATTATAACTTACCGGAAACATCATAACAATGGAGCGGTGTGGGGTGTCGGTAGGAACCTGGTGCACGATAAAGCTTCGATGTTTTTCACTAACATCCTGACTTCCACCGGAGAGGGATCGCGAGGGCAGGCCGGTTGTGCGAGTGGCGCGACCAGCTTGGTTATCGGGGGAGATGTGGGTCAATGCATTAGTCGAGGTGGCAGCCGAGGGATCGTGAATGGTTGCGAGCAAGCTAGATATGAAATCCGGGGTCGGACTGTATTCATAACTAATATCTTCACGGGATGGCGAGTACCGAGCGTTGGCAATAGCTGTCTGAACAGGAGAGAGTGGGTACTGTGATGCTCCCAACGTCTGAGTGTGAGTTGGCGAGTATTGCATTTGCTCCAGCGACCGGGATGCCTGGGCCCGGGAAGGCGAGTATCGCATTCCACCAGGGCCAGAGGTTGTAGGAGACACATGAGGGGAGACAGATGAGTACTGGAATGGGCCGATTGAGGCGCGCGCTGCATTAGCTGTGCGAGTCAGCTGAGGCGAAACAGACGAGTACTGGGACTCATTGGTGGTGCTGTTCGCATGGTCGGCAGCTGGTGCTGGATAGGAGCTTGCAGTGGACGTTTGAGGGAGAACGCGCGCAGACCCTTCATTGGGCCAACCGGCAAACGGATCACTGTAACACAACGTATTAGGGCTTTTTGTCTTAGATGTATAAACGACAATTACAACTTACCCAGTCGGACGGATTGTGGCCATTCCAGTGAACGGGTCAGGGTTTGTTCGATGAGCAAAAGCCTCATACCCCATCGGATTGAAGGCAGTAAGCTGCTCCGATGGTGATCCTCGAGTTGGAGAAAACTTCTCCATGTTCAATACTGAAGTAATAAGAAGGTGAGCTGAGAATCCAGAATGATATTGAAAAACCACATCGACATACAAGGTAACGAGTTGTTGGAATACAGCGAGGGTGTCGCTTGAGATGTTGGGGTACCGGCGCAGCTAGAGAACTGGATAGAAGAGTGAAAGGGGAAAAAGAAGAAGAAGGTTGGGAGGGAGTAAACGAAAGATCTTATACATCCCAGGATCGACTCACACCCCGAACAAGCCAATGAGGCGATCCGATTCCACAAACAGCCCGACGACTAATCGATGAGCCCCCGGGGATGATGATTCAAAGAACCCCTCTCCCGCCCCGTCCCCCAACGATTCAACGATTCAACGGCGCGACGGTGGATTGGAGGCAAAGACAGTGAGCCCTGTAAAGGACTGTGACCCTGTATCCGCTGAGCGATACCATCAGCATGGAAGGGTCTTGTGCACGATTACAGACCAAATGTAGACTATATCACTGCCATTAGATTCTGTTGTGCTGCATTGGGGCTTTACTTGCTTGTATCCAGTTTGTTCTCTCTTTCTCTTTGCCCATTTGAGAACCTTCTGGCTTTCAGGCCTTTATTCCTTTCCCCCCAGGAAGCTATATTAGATGGCAGTAGGTAGAGCATCATCATGATCAAGTAGTTCTGTTGGTGGAATTAATTGCCACTTTCTCGACATAGGACCACGAAGTATCGATTCCTTTCTCGGGTACCTGGTCAGCCTGCGTGGGTGTATTGCATGTTGCATTGAGGCTTTACTTGCTGATAGTAATGTAGTTTGTTAAACTTCTCTTTGCCCCTTTAGACTGTTCTCAGGGTCTCTCAACTGCTGAGAAGAGTGATGGAGTCGTGACAGATAATTAGAAAAGAACAAACAATAATAATTGTAAAATGTATAGAAAAGGCAGCAGGTATAGATTTGATATGGGCCAAGGTTTACGCTAGCGCAAAATAGAATTAGCGTTTCAAAAGCGGTCATGCACAGTGGTGGCAGATTGAGCATTTGACCGCCCATGGACGTCGACCATCTATAAGCTTGAGATCATCTATCCATGATAAGGTTGCAAGCCTAGCAGGGGAGTATTCAGACTATTGGACTTCCCTCTGGCTATGAAGCTAAGCCATTATGCCACCCATGGCTCCAATTCTCAATGAGCCACATGTCTTGAACCAAGTGAGCCAGCCTATGCACGTTGGACAAGGTACATAAATAGAACTGACTTCTTCTCCTTAGATTATCATCTCACCCTCGGACACGGACTACCTGGATCAGCTCATTCCCTCAATCAGAGACTACAGCGTTGGAAACCGCACTCCACAACTCCTGCATTCGCTATCCCGGTTCGCGGGCGACAAGGAGTCCGAGATCGAAAGCATATGCAACACAAATCACCAGGAGTTTGTCTCATCTGTCAATTCATTGCTTCGGATTCGAGAGGGGACAGTGAGCTTGACGGCAGAGATTCTGGACTTGAATCAATCTATTCAGACCAGCACCGAACGCCTAGCCGAGCAGAAGAGAGCACTGGTGGAGTCGCGTGGCCACCGACAGAACATTGATGAGACGAGTCGTGCAATTCAGGATTGCTTGGAGGTTCTGCGTCTAGCCAACCAAGTCCATGACCTCTTGGCAAAGAAGAACCACTACGCCGCGCTGCGGGCACTGGAGGAATTGCAGAACGTCCATCTAAAGGGGGTGACACAATACAAGATTGCAGTCATGATACAACGCTCAGTTCCTGCGACGCAGAGAGCTATAGCGGAAGCAGTGATGTCAGACCTCAACACCTGGCTTTACCGCATCCGAGAAATGTCTCAATACCTTGGGGAAATTGCGCTCTTCCACACAGACCAGCGGAAAACCAGACAAAAGCAAAGAGCGGAAAAAGTCCCTTATCTAGAACATTTCAATTTGAACTCTGCGATCGAATTGGTGTCGGATGAAGATGAAGAGTATGACCTGCTCCAGAATGAAGATCTTCAAGTTGACTTCACACCGCTGTTCGAATGCTTGCATATCCATCAATCTTTGGGACATATGGATAAATTCCGAATTGAGTACGCGACCACCCGCCGAAGACAAAAAGAGCTCTTGCTTCCGTCTTCTATCACCCTTGTTGATGAAGATGGTTCTAGTTTGCACAATCTCTTGGAAGAGATGGCTGGATTTGCCATCGTTGAACGGGCCACAATGAAAAGAGCTCCCGATCTCAGGTCATCTGTTGATGTAAGGAACCATATCCCCTTTTCTTTTAGCCTCTGTTCAACGAGGGGTCTTCTAGGAATGATCTGACTCATGCCTCCATAGATTGACGAGCTGTGGGATTCGATGTGCCAAGCGGCCGTAGTGTTGATATCGAAAGCACTTCATGAAGTCGACAACGCTGAAAGCATTCTCAACATCAAGAATCTGATTGCTCTATTCACGCAGACGATGGATGTGGGTATACCCAGGTCTATTATCTTGGGCCCAAATAGCTGATTTCCATATAACAGACGTGGAACTTCCCTGTGCGGGTCTTTGATGACTTTTTGTTGACACTCTTTGGCAAATACGCCGAACTTCTGAAGAAGAGATTCAGTGATGATTTCCAGGAGGTAGGGCTGTTTCCACCTTCCCCCTATCAATCTATTTTAAAAGCTGACACTCCCAGATTGTATCAACGGATGATTATATGCCCATGCCCATACAGACCCAAGAGGAGCATGACAAGGTCCTCAACGTTAGCTGGTACAGCCCCGAACAACCTCGCGAGGAACAAGTGTAAGTTCTGAATCGTCTTGGACAGATTGGCCCTTATCCAGACCTAACTGATCATTGTAGATTCCCATGCATATTACCATTTTCCCGGATGTACCCGCTGTGTTGCATTGATATTCGGAATTTCCTGAACCAGTTCTATTTCTTCGCGAATGATGGTTTCGCAAATACAAATGTGATCGATGAGACACTGAAGAATGTGAGTTCGGATCAACACACTCAACACGTGGACTCGACAACTAACCCAGCAGGATCTGGATGATCTCCTTTCACAAAAAGTCTGTGACACTTTAGTGGAGCGTCTTTCCTCTCAATATCTAGGCCAAATCGTTCAGATTCTTATTAACCTGGAACACTTCGAGCTAGCTTGCCGCGAGCTGGAACTCTTATTGGCAGCAGCCCGATCACAAAACTCCACCGGCACCTCAATCGCGTTGAGGGCCACTGAAAAGTTCAAAAGCAACAAGAAGGCAGCCGAAAAGCGTATCTTCGAGGTAGTCAATTCCAAAATCGACGACCTTATCGAGACAGCAGAGTACGAGTGGATGTCCCCTATGCCTCCCACGGAGCCGAGCAATTACATGCAAACCTTGACTCGATTCTTGTCCAACATCATGAACTCGACATTGTTGGGTCTGCCCACGGAAATCAAAGAGCTCATCTACTTTGATGCCCTTAGTCATGCGGCTAACATGATTCTGGTGGGTTTGCTATGGACTCCAATCGGTTGAGACACAGACTTACTGACTGACTGTTCAGGCGCAACCATTATCCCCGGATGTGAAGAAAATCAACCCCAACGGAGTGGCAGCACTAGCGAAAGATGTTGAATACCTTGCCGAATTCGTTGACAGCTTAAATGTCCCAATTCTTCGTGAGAACCTCGATGAGTTACAGCAAACAGTGCAGTTGATGCAGGCGGACAGCGCAGACGAGTTTTATGACATTTCTACGAGGAACAAGAAATATGGACGTGTTGATGCCATGCAGGGGCCCATTTTGCTTGAGAAGTACGGTTTGAAATCTGTATCTTGCCGTGAACTACCTACTAACCAGTTATGAATAGGCTTACACGCAGCGTTCAAGCCCCCGCCAAGGTGGATAAGTTTGCGACTCTTTCATCACGCTTCAAGAAGACTGGGTAAATCTATGAGTGTGTTATGCGTAATGCAATGTTTAACTACAATGAAGTACCTCTACCTGTTAGGGGCGTAAGTACAGAAATACAGCTAGAAGCACACCTGCCATATCCCGAACTGGTAAGAAGGCCATATGAAACAACATTGGACCGTCTGAGGATGTCCAATGCCTCTCATATTGTAACCTCGGCTTACCCCAAGACCTGCAAGAGATGTAGATTTGATTTATTGCACGAGATGTAGGAATATACATGATACTGCTAACAATCAACGAAGTAAATCACACACAATGCCACATGTGGTTTCCTCTTTTCTAGCCAGGATCAAAACTCATTCCGCACATCCCGAGAAAGATCGGGAGTCGCTCAATAACCACTCTACTGCATTGCCATTGCCTTGCGTGGGGAAATAAAACAATAGAATAATCAAATAAGACCAGTAAGAAAAAAGAAAAGAAAGAAAAGAAAACGGACCAAAATTCGCCTTGAAACGCGCATGAACTAAATTAAAATGACGGGCCAGATCATAGTGGTGATAACATGTCACTTGACGATTAAAATTAGCTTGTCTGCTGAAGATCAGACATATGACAACTACATACCTGCTGGGGAGGGAGATGCGGGTAGGCGTACATCCCTTCGAACATTTGGGACTGAGGTTGACCATACGCCGCAGTTGGGTCTGACTGAACTGCCCCGGGGTACATGGCAGGTTGTGGGCGATACTCCTGGTCCTGAGGCATACCGTGCTGGCCAAGGGAGGCGTAGTCGGCAGGGCCCATGTGCTGGTGCGGTTGAACTCCATGCGGGGCAGGGGGCAGCTGACCTGGGGCAGCAGAGGGTCCTGGGGCGCTACCGGCAGCCTGACTCGACCGCTTGGCATGAGAGGTTGCCTCTTCGCGGGGAACTATATCAATCAGGAAGTCAAACATGTCCGATTTGGACAGAGCGGCGGCAATATCAGATCGCTGGAGGGTACGACGTTTATTGTCCTCGGCGTGAATCCAGGCACGCATAGTCAGCTCGGTGATGAAAATATCACAACCCTTAGCAAACAAGATGGGCGCCTCTGCAGATATCATCTTGACTTCCGGGTCCGCCTTCATCACCTTCTTGATACGGGCCAATGGCAACTGGTGGATCTTGTAGTCATGGTTGTCTGACTCCAGGTGGTTGATGACATGTTGCCAGTATGTCGTCAGGATATCACGCGCAGTCCCTTGGAGGCCTTGGTTTACCTAGTTCTGGTGAGTATCAGAGCTCGATATTTGTCTGGTCATCTCCAGGAGCTTACGTTGGCCCAGGTACCAGTGTACAACTCGGCAACTGGCGCGTAACCTTGCGCTGAGAGCTATTTTTATCCAACTTTGATTAGTTGCTACTCGAGACATTTCGCGCGACCATCATAGAGTGAAGGCAAAGCCGCGCGGCTCATCGCGATGGACATACCGCTGCGCTAGCACCTGTAAATAATGGCTGTTGTCAGTCTCCATTGAAATCGATTGCATAGCTGAGACGTAGCAACTAAGCCAGCAGAGTAGCCCTTTAACAGACCTCGGCGCGTGGCTTTGGCACGTAGGTTTGGCGCAACAATAAGCTTGGAACTTACCATAATGACCCCCATTTCTAACGTCGTAAATCGGCTGCGGTTGCTGTCTGCCCTGCTGCGCGGAGCCTTGAGGAGATTGCTCCATGCTTGCCTGGAGGTTGAGCTATCCGAGCCTCTGGGGGGGTGTCGGGCAGATCGTGCTGCGGAGGAACCGATAGGATGCGACGCGACCCGGTGAGATGCGGCGAGGTGGGGTGGAGGTTCTAAGAACAAAGGACGAAAAGGATGCAATATAAAAGTGATAATCGGATGAGTTTAGTCAGAGACTATGTGAAGCTTGGTTGTGTTCTAGGTCAAGGCGCGTTGGGTGCCAAGCTAGAGGTGTTCAGCTGTCTGAGGTTCGACCCCTCCGAGCTCGATGTTCAACATGTATAATACCTACATGTATACGATGTATGGATATGATACAGGGGGTTTATATCTAAAATGGTAAGATGGGTCTTGCATATAATTAGGTCTAATTTAAAATAGTAGAAGGATTGTAAAGCATTGTATTACTCTATTGCAATATGCATTTGTATATAGAACCTGGCAATGAGAGAAATACCTCTGATAGGTGAATTCCTTGGGGTCTTCGACTTTCAATACATGAGCTGTACTGATTGAGATAGTACTTAACAATTAAGTACTAGGACCTAGCGTTTAGGCGCAATTATAGTGAGTCCTCTTGTACCAGATACTGCCAATGGAAGTATTTCCTATCACATGACCCCACTCCAGTTTCGCACTAAGCAGAAATTTCTCATAAACGTTTGTCCGGTCCCGGGAAGCAGCAAGCAAAGCTAAGAAAAAATATAAATTCTGTCCACTCACCTTAAACCTCTTGAGCTTTTGCTACCCTCCCTATTCACCAGGGATGGCTGACTCAACATGTGTGAAGGATATTCAGGAAGACCTGACTGATGATCAGATTCAGCACTTGCTTCTGGAGGCAGAGACTCGACTGAAGGGTCCCAATGCACTAAGCACCCAGAGTGATGATCTGGCATCTCTTAGGTATGGAAACCTTTTAAGACCAATAACCTAGGATCTAGGTTGACCTCTTCTAGGATCCCGAAATTGTCACCTGGGTCCTCGCTGGAAGCATACATTCGTCAGGGAGACGATGTTGCTACTGTTGACGCTGCAAAGATCACCGATCAAAAGCAGAAGGAGTTGGCCAACTCTCTCCGCGCGGCTGAGATCAAGAAAGTGAACACCGTGAGTCACCCATCACTTCTTTGCTGTCTTTCCTTTCTTTTCTTTTTGCTATGAGGAAAATATTCCCAACGCGAAGCGCTTGATGCGGCGTAACCAGTCCGTCTTGGGCTGTGCTGCACCAGTGAGAGCCTTTTTATTCATAGTTACTCTGAGCATTCATCACAATTACTATATTTTCTCGGCGTGCGATATTTGTGGGCAATTGCTAACAATCCTCACCTTTGATAGGGCAAGCCTACCGCTGGACCTGAGTGGTTCAACCTCCCGAAGACAGAGATGACCCCGGAGCTTAAGAGAGATCTGCAGCTCATCCGGATGCGTTCTGTGCTTGATCCCAAGCGTCACTACAAGAAGGAAAATGGCAAGGCCAAACCGCCAGAATATTCCCAGGTTGGAACTATCATCGAGGGGCCTACCGAGTTCTTCAGCAATCGTATCACCAAGAAGGACCGCAAGAAGAACTTCGTTGAGGAGACATTGGCACTCGAGCGTGGCACCAAGCGCTTCCAGTCCAAATACAGGGACATTCAAGCCAGCAAAACAAGCGGAAAGAAGTCCTTCTACAAGGACCTGCAGGCAAAGAGAACCCGGAAGAACAAGTGAAATTTCGGTATCTGCTTTCGTCAAACTATGCCATGAATGGCAACAACACCATGTCGGCCATAGTCGACACCTCAACAAAATGGCCTCTGCTGGGATCCTAATAAGCTGAACCCAGATCGTCACGTTCTGAGTTCATATGAACTCATCTGTGTCAAGCCCAGCCTTAGACTCGATCAAAGATATCCACGAGTGTTTCGACAACCAGTTTCTGGGTTGAGGTCAATTTCATCGTCTTCCAAGGATTGATGTAACGATCTTACCTGCATGTCAATGGCTGCCGCGCGGCCAGCTTCAAGGACCTCCTCATGTCCTGCCATGCCCTCTGCTATAAGAGCGCTTAGTTCTCCTGCTGCTTTATTCTGGAGCAAATCGTCATCCCCGCGAGGCACAGGAGACAACACGGCCTTGTTAGTAACCAAACTGAAGGCAAGCACTCGCAGACCACAATGTCTGGCGGTGACAATCTCCGGTACTGTGGACATTCCAACCACATCGGCACCAAGCATTCGAAGCATCCGGCTTTCGGCTCTTGTCTCGTAACTTGATGCTGTCAGAATCGGATTCAAAGGATTGTGCAGAGGTGACTTACGTAGGGCCTCCGCAAAATGCATATACACCCTCGTGCAACTTTCTCTTGCTTTCCGGTGATACGACTTTCTTCCATGACTGATGTACATAGCGACGGAGCTCAAGGTCATAGGCGTCAGACAGGGGTGGGAATCGCACTCCAAATTCATCTTCATTGGCCCCTCTCAATGGATGAGTCCCTGCCAGACCTGCGAGGAAGAGATGCTGTAATTTGATTTTAGAAACTCGGCTCGATAGCTTTGAGGGTATTTCTCTTACATCATTCAATAGAACGATATCCCCCACAGCATACTCAGAATTCAAGCCTCCGGCCGCATTGGTCACTACCAAACATTAATTCTCGTCGTTCTGTAACGTCAATCTTCAGGTTAATGATCGTGTAGGACGTACAGACAACCGTATTCACTTGCAACTGCTTGAACACTCGAATTGGGAATGCCACCTGATCAATCGAATGCCCCTCGTAGTAACTAGGCCAAGGTCAGCTATGTTATAGGCAGGACGAGGGCTTAAGCTGACTGAGCACGGCCAACCATCAACACCGCAGGAATTTTCTGGCCGAGAAGACCAAAAACCAGCTTTCCAGCATGACCGGCGACTGTGGAATGTTAGAATCTCTTCCCCGAGTCCGAAGAAGGTGACCAACCTGTTGAGCGAGGGAAGTGGGGGATGGATGCATAGTCAAATTCAATCCGTGACTCGGGTTTAAGAGTATCTGCAAGACCTCCTAGTCCTGAGCCACATACAATTGCAACCTGAGGCTTTTGCAGGGTCTCTGGCAACTTGGTTCTGAGATAAGAAACTGCTTCGTCGGCCCGCTCGAACGAGGTCAAGTCTATCTTTGTCATTTTTGCAGAAGTCAGTGTATACACTTAAAGAAGTAGGATATATACAAAGTGGAAAATAGGATGAGTGAAAAAAAAGTCGTTTCCAAGTGCGGAGTCACATGGTTCCATTGCCAGGTCGCTAGTTTTGGCGGGGGTGCAACGATCCGATTCATAGAAACATTCGAGAACAGCCTTGAATGATAACCATATAATAACTCATTGAGCAGAATATTCCATCTAAAAGCCTGGAGTCAGAGAGCTAATCAGGTATGAGGGAACATATCTATATACACGGTAACATGGGAAATTGGTTGCACGAACTTGTTTTAATCATAATTTGGCTCAAATGATCAATCCCTAGGGACCGTTCTATCTACTTTTTCAGCATTAGATCAATAGTATACAATAGTATAATAGTATAATAGTGTCATAGTACAACAGATATATCACTGTACACTGTAGTTTCAGTTGCTTCTATATCAAGTTCCCCCACTCACCGCCCTGGACCGCTCTCCGAAAAAAACCATCCGCTAACAACAACGGATCTTCCTTAAAATCACGATTAACAATGTTCTCATACGCATCGCGCTCCTTAATTGGAGTGAGCAAGCGTCTCAGGGTATGTTCTCATTTTGTTTGATACACAATTTCCACGCTAACAGCTCCTTGGAAGGCGCCTATCCCATTCCGCTCTCTATCATCCCCAACCCAGCCAACTCCGCCGGAGCAAGAGAAGACACCCGCTCAAGACCCAACACCAACCCCTACACCAGTTGCCCCTGCAGAAGCTGCGCCTGTGGCCCCTACTCCTGAAGCTAAACCCATCGCGACTCCCGCCGCTACCCCCGCTGCCGCCCCTGCATCGACTGCTCCAGTAGCGTAAGATACTGCTCAAATCTACTACTGATTTGGGCTTGACGCTAATTGAGACAATTCAGATCGACGGAAGCCGAGCAAACTGCTGGGCCTAGCGTGAAAGAATGGTTAGTCTCGAAGGCGATTGGCTCAATGCCAAAATATATCAAAGATCACTGCTCACAGTTTGGTTAGGTCTGAACGGTTAGGAGCGTTTGAGGACAGCCGACTTCCACGAAGCGTGCAAGCGATATACCTACGGCCTTTGCGGAGGAAGGCCGAGTACGGCCTGCCAGTCTGCGACCTTCAATTGCGATCATACAGTGTCCGTAATGTAGAGTTCTTCGCGGACTTTGCCATTCGTGCTGCTTACTACCTGAACCTTCCTGTGTCCGGGCCTGTGCCTCTCCCCCGCATCGTTGAACGCTGGACCGTACCCCGAAGCAACTTCGTGCACAAGAAGAGCCAGGAGAACTTCGAACGAATCACCCTCCGTCGACTGGTTCAGATCAAGGATGGAAACCCACAAGCGGTGCAGACATGGCTCGCATTCCTCCGGAAGCACGCATTTTATGGGGTCGGTATGAAGGCAAATGTCTGGGAACATGACAGTCTCGGTATGGGTTACACTTTCTTTTTTTGATGTCTTCAACGATCAGGCTGCTAACCATCGTTTCTACACTAGATGCTGGTAAGGCTATGGACGCTTCCGTTGCCGAGGTAGAAGAAGCTCTTCGCCCCGAGCTCGCGCGATTCGGTCAGCGGAAGGATAACTCTGCCCCGGGCACGATATTCGATACTTTGGACAGTGAGCGATTCGCAGAGCGCAAGCCTCTATAGATGGAATGGTGATCTACTGCTGAACTTGTATACCCGTGAACATCCGGACTTCGTGTCTTTGCTGCAGACGCTGTTCTCATTATGTCCAAAAGCCTTTTTTAATCTAGGCCATATGTATTTTACTGTTTTACTGTTCTCATTTAAGCCCAGATGAAAGGAATCTTATAGACACTGAAAGGAGGTTACTCGCCATAGTAAATGTGCTACTACTCTGTATGATAATACGCGGAATATGTGGAATATGCCTGTAATAGGTGCAGACAATGATGTCCAGTACAGTTGTATGCCACATTGTACGATATCGATCACGTGATACGTTTCGCGTTTCGCGTTTTTCAGGGTCATTGGGGTCTACGGCAGTACAAAGTGATTGCACCTAAAATCTTCCATTCTCGCACCGATTTAGTGTTTGTTGGAGATGTCTGCCAACGCGATGCGTCATGAATTTGGCTCGCTGAGGTCATTGCGTGCGAAACACCACCATATCCGTCCTAGCGGGCTCTCCCTTCTTCCAAGGAGATGCCATCGATGGAACAGCTCGAACACCACGTCGCCAGCAAAAGAGCAGCCCCTTATATTTTCTGGAATCCAACCAACTGGCGTGCCTCATTTAGGCAATTATTTGGGAGCTTTACATCAATGGGTGAAGCTCCAGCAAGATGCAGCCGAAGGAACGAAGCTATTTTTCTCTATTGTTGATCTACATGCATTAACAGTACCGCAAGACCCAGCCCAATTGAAGCGATGGAGGAAAGAGGCCTTTGCGACATTGCTTGCTGTGGGCCTGGATCCTAAACGCTCTACAATATTCTACCAGTCCGGTGTAGGTTCCGTCTTATAGCTGTTGGCTGCTAAGCACAATAGAGACTTTATATATTGACATTGATCAGGTGCCAGCGCATGCTGAGTTGATGTGGATTCTCAGCACGGTGGCTTCCATGGGGTATCTGTCGCGTATGACACAGTGGAAGGTGAGTGGCAGTATAATATTTTATATACAAAGACATCCTATTGATACCCTCCAGAGTAAGCTACAGCTGCCAGAAGACACCACGCTTGAGGATTCGACAGCACGGGCACAACTGCGACTTGGTCTTTTCTCCTATCCAGTACTACAAGCTGCTGATATCCTTGTGCACAAGTATGTTCCTCGTCTACATTGGGCATTTCTTTGCTGATGATCAACAAGAGCTACGCATGTCCCGGTTGGAGAAGACCAAAGACAGCACCTGGAGTTTTCCAGATATACCGCGAACAGCTTCAACCACCTCTACGGGCCCATCTTCCCCATCCCAGAGGCATTGATATGTGAGATACCAGTTGCTTGAAGGAACAGAACAAACACTAACTTGACCAGCCCCTGCCAAGCGAGTGATGTCCCTTAAGGAACCCACCTCAAAGATGTCCAAATCGCATGCCGATGAGAAATCCCGGATCATTCTTACTGACTCACCAGCCGAAATCCGCAAGAAAGTCAAGGTAGCCCTGACAGACTCGGAAGCAGGCATCACCTACGACCCGACTTGTCGGCCTGGGGTGTCGAATCTCATCGAGATCCTAAGCCACCTGGAAGGTGTATCATGCGAGGATATTGCGGCTGACTTCCACAGCGCAAGTCTCCGATCGCTCAAGGAACATGTTGCAGATCGGATAGCCTATCATTTGCAGGAGATCCGGGATCGGTATGTTACCATCATGGAGGATAAGACAGGGTACCTGGAGACAGTGGCTGAGGAGGGAGCCGAAGCAGCGCGGGCCAACAGTCGGGTGACCATGCAGCAAATTCGGGATGCGATGGGTCTGTGAGTGGCAAGTTGTTTTGACTGTATATTAGAGAGATTTGTATGATAGGATTTACAATATACAATTGAAGTTTAAGAGTCAGACTGTTAACGACATAAAGCCCAAAATAGCCGAGGGGGCTGAAGTGGAGTCAACCGCGTCATCACCTCCACTCCGTATATCGCATACGTATGCTAAGGATTTATAAGGATTTCTAGTTGGTTTTATATTGTAGATCTGTGTGAATCACTTGAATTAAATACTTATATTATAGATATAGATGAACTACATATGTAGTATGTGTTATAAAAGGCTTACAGTGCATACATTGTACGTTGGACATTGTGCGTTATACAGTTTATGCTGACGACAGCACTTGGAGACTTCCGCCATAGCCGTCCATTTGAACTATAATTATCGTATAGAAATATATAATACATCCTATTGCATCTATTGCTATAATCCGGTTGGAGCCGAGTAACTCCCTGCTCCATTGGCACATCCACTGAAATGATATCGCTCATCTCTTTTCCCCATCCTTCTTGCCTTTGCTTTTTCCTTTCTTCAAACTCCAACTCACTACTCATCCAAACTCAAGTTAAGACATCATCTCTTAAACAGTTCAAGAAAAGCGAATAGCCGAACTTTCACTTTCGGATCTCTCACTTTCGGACCGAATTCGGGGAGGACGACGCGATCATGAAATATGCATGGATCCTATTGGTCACCGGCCTGGTGCTGCCAGCCTGGAGTCTAACCCTTCACCGAAGAGACAACCCCGCCGTGGTGCAAATGGATATCCAACGAAAGAATGATCTTGATCCCGTCACTAGAGATCGAGCACGGAGGAAACGTTCGACAGTCAGTCAGGCATTGGACAACGAGGTATACATGATATTTATTTATAGGTCTAATGATTTTACGAACTTTGACACTAATGTTTCTGCCTAGGAAACTTTGTACTTCTGTAATGTCACTCTGGGTACCCCGGGGCAGAGCATACGTCTGGTTCTCGACACTGGAAGTAGTGATTTGTGGTGCAATACGCCAAATTCTACTCTCTGCGAATCCAAGGAGAACGCTTGCGAATCCGGTACTTATGACTCGAGCTCTTCCTCTTCATATTCATTTGTGAACTCGGACTTCAATATCAGCTATGCCGATGGATCCGGCGCCGCCGGAGACTATGTAACCGACACTCTTACCGTCGGGGGCACAACTATTGAAGACTTCCAATTTGGTATTGGGTTTTCGTCTGGCTCTTCGGGTGAGTGGTTTTGCCAGATATAACGCTAATTACCACAGAGCTGACATGAAGGCTTGTGTGCAGAGGGTGTGCTGGGTATAGGATATACCGCGAATGAAGTTCAGGTTGGTAGAAATGGAGAACCGGCTTATGCCAACCTACCCAAGGCACTTGTCAACAAAGGAGTGATCCAATCAAATGCCTACAGTCTCTGGCTGAACGACCTGGATGCGAACACAGGCTCGATTTTGTTTGGTGGAGTCAACACTAAGAAATACCACGGCGCCCTGCAAACAGTCCCCATCCAGAAGGTCTACGGACAGTACTCGGAGTTCATTATTGCGCTCACTGAGGTGTCTCTCACCACGTCCTCCGGTAAAAATACCTATTCTTCGAGCTCCATTCCCGCAGGTGTGTTACTGGACTCGGGAAGCTCTCTTACATACCTTCCGGATGCGCTTGTTCGGGAAATCTACGATGATCTCGGGGTCTTTTACGAGTCGGAAAGTGGCATTGGCTATGTTGAATGCAGCATGGCACAGCAGAGCATTACCCTCAGTTACACGTTCTCATCGCCGACGATTAACGTGGACATCAACGAGATGATCATCGATATCGGCGAGCTCTATTTCCGGAACGGCAAGCGAGCCTGCATTTTCGGTATTGTCCCCGCGGGAAGCAGCTCGGCAGTCCTGGGAGATACGTTCCTTCGCAGTGCGTACGTGGTATACGATCTTGAGAATAATGAGATTTCCCTCGCCAGTACCAACTTCAACACCACCGAGAATGATATCTTGGAGATCGGGACTGGCACTGATTCCGTCCCCGGTGCGACTGCAGTTCCGAATCCAGTGACTACCGCACCAGTTGGTGGCACCGCTGCTCGCATCGGAGGTCCGCATGGAGGCTCCGGCCTCTTTGGCTCGGCCTCTGCCACTGTGAATATGGCCATTCCTAAGGCGACTGCTATGCCGAGACACGTGGCTGTCGGCCTTGCCGGTGTAGGAGCTCTTCTGGCTCTTTAAGATATTCTTTGGATGATCGCATACTTTTTTCCCCCTATGTATATATCTTGCATACTGTGGTGTATTTGGAGTCTGGGAAGGCGATACCTAGAATTCTTTTCCGTCCCAGTTATCTAGTTTTTATGTGTTATGAAATGGACCACCCCGGATTATTGAATACTTTGACCCAAATATAGAGTGGTGCATGTGGTGCCGGTATCTATGTCGCTCCTTTCGCACTTCTCCCAGCTTTGACTGATCAAGCACGGTTTAAGCCTCCAGGGCTATAGCCCATAGGCCGAGTCCGCATATGGAGTCTGGATTGCTAGACAGTACGATCTGATTCCGAATAGGCCTTACATATATAAATGATTGTCTTCATTATTTAAGTGTGATAAGTTCTATGTACATATATATACATGTATAAAGGGTATTCATTTCATTGTATCGGATTCAAGGTCATTCCTTATTTAAATGTATCTCTTCTTCACCTTCTCACCTCTCACCTCTCCAATCATCAATATCTTCTCTTATCCCATCATGCATTCCACTCTACTTTACAACCATCCTCCACGCCTTTATAACCACAGCATCCTTCGACATCAACATTCCAAGATCAAAAATGGCTGCCGAACGCGCAGACGTGCCGTGACATCACGAAACCCCGTCCACCACAGGGACCTAACGATCAGTTTACTCGACCGGTCTTAGCTCTACTCTCCATCAATCCAGGTGCGGCATCCACGAGGACGAATGAATCGTCGTTACCATACGAGATTTTCGCTTTAAAGAAACGGAGTGAAGAAGCAGCCGAAGAATTTTCTAATTCTAACCTCGATGGCGAGACTGAGCCAAACATCCTGAGCTTCTACGGCAAGAACCAGCAGAAATTGTTGCATGGATGATGCACGAAATCAACCCGACCAGGGCAAGAAACGAGCGGCAGTAAGTGGACCTATTAAACCTTATGCTCTGACGCTATTATCTACAACATTAAAGGTAAAGAGACAATATCGATATAGACTAGCCGATAAATAGGAATGGTGACATTCTGCGAGATGGGTGGCCACAGGAATACCACTGGCAACTGTGGCCGAAAACATCGCGACAAAGCCTGGATATCCTGGGGGGACACAGGGGTGGCGCTGTCTCAGAACTAAAAAATGCTCGCCGGTCGACCCTGCATACCTTGTACAGGTCATTTTACACACCGGTATTCCTGTTCCAAGACAGAAGAACCCGAAAACAGGCCACTTAACGGCAGTAAGCAGTTCCGCCGATGCCCCCGTCCTTGACGAATGGTCTGCCCATCCAACGAATTACACGCACAGACAAGAAAGAACTGCAATTGCGCACGGGGGCAGCTTCACCATGGACATACAAGCCATTTCGCGTACGTTCAGCGAAGAGAAACAGAGGGCTTATAAATGGGAATCCGCATTTGCAGAATAGTACGACATTTCCTATGCTGAGGCTAGAGATAATGCCTATCTCAGTCGAACTCCTCGTGTCATCCGTTGTTTAACCTCCTTGCCAACCCCCGATCAATGCGTGGTTTCAGGCAACCGAGAGACAGCGAGGCTCGAAGTGAGAGCACCAAGGTATGCCAGGATTGGATCACACAATGGAGATCAGCCCTGGTGTGCTTTCGGGATTAGGGCGGGTCTCTCAATCCGAAGCAGAGCTTCTTCTCCAGTTCCTGGAGAAACTCAGGAAGGAGGGAACCTGCGAGGACTTTGTAGAGAAGCCCCTGGTTGAGGACGAAACAGGTCAGGAGTCCACTCAGGGCCCCTGTAAACAAGGCAATGATGAGGGCGTTGAGGACGGGTCTTAGGTTACAAGTACCCGTGGACGACTGCACTTAGCATAATTAATCAAATTGTATGATGTCCCTTCACTTCCCACATAAAACATAAATTTTGGACACTCATTTCGTAGAAATTGTGCATTAAGTTTACGGCTGATTTTCTAAATAGACATTTATAGACATCTCGAAAGACACCTCAAAAGACATGCCAAAAGATTACCGGAAAACACATCTACAAAGACATTATAAAAGACATCTCAACCATCAACCATCATGACTCATAAAGATGCTACCTAGGTAAATCCATTTTGGCTTTTGTACAGATCATGAGATCATGTTCGAGATAGTGTATATCCGTGTGGACGTGTCCTCGCTTGCTACCGCCAATTCGAACTGATCCCTGATATCCGCCTCTGCAGCCGGCACTGGTCGCCATGATAATTGAGAAATTGTCCTTGAGGGCGAGGCCACTTTGTCAATGGTCACGACATGCTGTGCTTCGAGAGTATCAGCAGCAATCCGGTGGATAGAAATGACACCGTTGTCCTCGCCGACAGCAATAACATATGTGCCTTCGTATGTTGCGGGCAAGAAAGCAATTGCTGAGACCGCCGATGTCAAGGACACGGTCGTTTTGCAGACGAAAGTCTCTTCGGACCTTTGCCAGATCTTCACAGATTTGTCACGTCCTGCCGTGGCAAAGATATGGTCTGTTGTAGCTGGGGCCCAGGCTGCACCTAGGATCATTCGAGAGTGACCCTTAGGGTTCAAGCTGAGGTTTGTGAACGTGGTCGGGTCTGCATCGCTCCGCTGGAAGACAGCCCATTGGCGATCTCGTCCAACACTGAGAAGATAGCGATCGTCACTCGAGAATGAAAGGTCCGTGATGGTTAACGAGTGCGCAGTGAGAGAAGGTCTAATCTCATGCCAGTCTGACGTATCGTAGAGGCGAATTACCGCATGGTCGATCGAGCTGGCCTTGCAGGCCGTAGCAATGAGCTTACGGTCATGGCTTACTGCCACTGCTGAGATCTCATAGCCATGACCATAGAGCTTTTCATGCTCCGGCCACAATGTGTAACGAGACAACTGATCCTCCAGTGGCGGGTGGTTGGCATCCAGCAAGGCAGAACCGGTTGGCACCTCAGTTGGGGCTTTTTGCTCGTCCTCTTCCACTGGCGCTTCATCTCCAAGTGCCTTATTCGAGAGACCCAGCACTGGGATCTCAGCAGTGTCTGGGAGGTTTTCGTCATTCGATTGTTTGAACCCAGTCAGTCTCTCAAGCAACTGAGCAATCGGTTTGGGCTCGTTGAACACACGCAAGAGCTTCTCTTCTGCGCCAGACACAAACTGTGAGGGACCCAGTGTGTCCACACAGTTCAAATCATACCCATGAATCTGAGGGCGAGAGAACTCATGCCATGAACCTGTATTTCCTCTCACCCACTTTGCATGGAGTCGGGTAGTTTGGTCTGAACTGGTTGAAAGCAGGTAGCCTCCAGTGGGCTCCCATTGTACACCGTTCGCTGAGCGCACATGGCCCGAAATACCGAACCTCTGAACCCAAAGATCCGAATCGGAATCATGTCGCCAGACTCTCCAACTACCTGTCCGGCCAAGACTCACCACCTGCTTTCCGTCTGGCGACCAGAGCCCAATCCAGAAGCCACCTGCGCTACCAGTCGCCGTGGTAGATCCTTTTTGGACACTAATCTCTCCCATTCTCTCTGTGGACATCCAAACGCCTGATGCTTGGTCTTGCTCCCAAATTGTGATGGTGTTATCAGCCGATGCCGAGAGAAGCTGCTGCCGCTTCGAATCAGGATTCCACGCAATAGTATAGATCCAGTCTTCATGTCCAAAGAGAAGAGCTTCAAAGGTAATGGAGTATTTCGATCCTGCAGCCTCGAACTCATGGGCTTTGTTCGATAGCGTAGGTTCCATTCCTCCAAGAAGAGGATCCGTATCATCTATCGGAGCAGGGGCACTTGCTTCACCCCGACGTAGTCGCCAAAGACGGATGTATCTGTCTTGACTTGCAGATGCTAGCAGGATATCACCGTTGCTCTGCTTGTCCTGGGTGAACGAAAGAGCCTTGATCCAGGCTTCGTGTCCCGCAAGCACAGCCCGGCGCTTGAACTCTGGTTTGCCGATGGAGGTTTCGGAGACATAGATCTGAACCTTGGTCGTTGTACCTGCAACTGCCAACACCAATGGCTTATCCGAGTCGCCTTCAAGCCCCTGCAATGACAGAGATAGCGGGAAGAACCGCGGTGTCATTGTGATCGTTTCAAGTAGCTCGCACTTCAATCCGTCCTGTGCGTTGATTCTCCAGGTCCGAACCGTCCCATCGGCCGCTCCAGATGCGATGACGTCCGTTCCATCGGCGACGGCAATCGCATTCACCGAGCCCGTGTGACCCTCAAGGGTAGACGCCAGGACATAGTTGTGGGTATCGGCATTGTCGTTTTGCCATATCCGTATTGTGCGGTCGACGGAGCCGGTGACGATAAATCTCGTTCCTGAGGCGGGGCAGGTATAAAATCGAACGACGCTGACTTTATCGGTATGACCAACAAGCAGGGCATAGGTACCACGATCAGTCTTGTCCTTCACTAAGTGTCAGCTCTTCCTCGTCATCAATGCGCAGTTGTTCTCGATGGACGTACTAGAGGATCCCATAAGGCGACATTGTTGTCCGCACCGAAGGCGAGCACGCCGGTCTGCACATCCCAATCCGCGGCACCAGGGTGCCGGTTTCCCCCCACACTAATGTAGTCTGTTTCGACGGCGACCATAGAGTATTTTGAGGGCTTGTGAACCCTTGTGTCTGTCTGTGCTGCGGTACTGGGAATCAATTGGAGAAAAGCAAAGAAATTGCGGAAAGATTGGAGCTTATCGATAAGAGGTTCTGTCTCCGCCTAGCCCCTCCATCTTCAACAGACTTGACTTGTGATCTCTTTCCATTCGTTCTCAATAAAAGAGACAACTGCTAATGCTCTGTATTTCGTTTGATATGCAACATGGCTGATACTTCAAATGCGGGCCAGGGAGAATTCCCCATCCCTATCACAGTCGAGTTTACGTACGTCAAATCTTTCCTTCAACTTGACCAGCCTTCGCTGATAATTGATCTCGATAGCGGCGGTTTAGAATTGCTATTCGGGAATGAGCGCAAGCATAAGGTCGTTTTGCCTGCTCGTTTAGAGGACGGCAGTAGGCCAAACATCTCATACCTGCTTAAATACCTCGTGGACAACCTCATGAAGGATCAGAGAGTAGACATGTTCATCATGGAGGACAATGTGTATGTCGACATAACTTTACAGCTTTATTCAAACAATATTAATGATTTCGATAGACGACCAGGCATTCTCGTCCTCATCAACGATGCCGATTGGGAACTCGAAGGCGAAGAGACATATGAACTTCAACAAGGAGATAACATTGTTTTTGTCTCAACTTTGCATGGCGGTTAAACACGATGGATGTATTGATGCTACCAACGCAACTAAGAACAAAAAGCGACTTGATTCGGAGTGTGGCTGGAAGAAATCGAGAATAACATATGGGTGGTCTTGCCCGGCGAACGGAATGAGTGTGAACTTTTACCTAGACCACATCTTCAACATGCTGTTGTGAGATCCGTTCCCGCTCACGCGGTGTTCGGATTCCACTGGGCGTTCGATGACCACTCTGTGGGGTTGCTTGACCTTCTGGGGTACCAAGCCCTTGCGCCGGTGACACCACCCCGCTTGGTGGCACTGGGATCTTCAAGTCCTCTGGAGAGGCCGGGATAATCTCTTCGGGGAGGTCGGGGATATGGATCCGCTGTGCCTCGTTCTGGTAGCTCTCAGGAACGATCTGGAATAGTGTTAATCAACCATAGATATTAATTCAACCCAGTTCAATTTACCTCAATGATTTCGTCGCGAGGGAACTCAAGGAACGGAATGTCCGCAGCATTGCAGGCCATGAGATAGCCATACAAAACCCTCAAAACACTCTCGTGTGCAATGATGAGCAGATCGGTTTGCTCCCTCTCCAACTCAAGGATAATTGGCTCGAGGCGAACAGCCAAGTCATGGTATGACTAGTGCAAAGGGTCAGCAGCTACACACTTTGAGGGGTTGAGATAAGGCTTACCTCTGCCCGGGGGTAACGGTGATGGTAGGGATCAAGCTCGTGCTTAGCAACCTCGTCACCAAACTCTGCTCGGATGCGATCCTCAGACATCTGCTCACAAACACCAGGGTGCAGTTGGCTCAATTGAGACCTCTGCCGGATTTTATATCCGTTTTCATGGAGGTATTTCGCGGTTTCTACTGTCCTGCGCCGCGTGGAAGTCCAAACTTTCAAGGGCCTTGATTCATAGCCAGTCTCTCCTCGTTCAATCATTGCTTGCTTTTCTTCTTCCCGGTGAGCTAGTAGACGTGCCGTCATTTTCTTGGCGTAGTCTTCGCCTTGTTCTGACAACGAAGCATCGGCTTTGTATGAATCTGCGTCTAGCGAAACGCCAGCCTAGAGAAAATGTTAGGTATCGCACTGTAGCAATATGGATAGTAGATGACCTACTCGGGCAAAGTATGTGCGTCTCGATTTGATGTGGAGATTCAGAAGATAGAAGACAATACGGTTAGAAAGGTAACCAAAACTTCGATTGTTGACAATCAACCTCTCGCCGGCGTTGATCATCTGTATTTGGTGAGTAATGGCAATTGGGCAAAAGCTATTTCGCGTACCTTAATATAGTTCAAGTCCTTTTCCTCCATGGTCTGGAATTGGGGGATGCGAGAATAAATACGGTTCAAGTAATGCTTCACGGCATCTTCTGATTTCCATGAGACGTACTAGCCATAATTGTCAGAGTTCCGTCCAACGCCATGATATACACGAGACTCACATCAGGGGAGGATATCTTGACTCTGCGAACATTCTCTTCAATGATTCTTTCGTCGTCACACCAAGACTCAATGAACAGGGTCTGCCAAATAAAGAAAGAAAAATCGACAATTAGTCTATTGTCAAACATTCAAACGATCAATCCTTACTTACCTCGATATCATGCTTTGCAAACTCCTTGGCGAGCGAGCGCCGTCCCGAGGCTAGCGGGTTGACGGCATCATATATCGCTATTTGACCATTTTCATGATTCAAGAAGTGATAGATATCTTCTCGACATTTCCTCACAATCTTTTGGCGTAGAAGGACGGACTTGGCAGTCGCTAAACAAACATGTCAATATGGTCGTTCAGATAGATCAGGATACCATGCCTACCATTGACATAGAAATAATCATCTGGCATGTCCTCGCCAAATGGGATTGTTGCACGGCGATAGTCGCCCAGATGGAAGATTCTGGTTTTGACACCGAGCCTATCAATATATTAGCCTATCTCTATAAATGCGCAAATCACAGGAGTAGAGCATACCATCGCAGGTATCGTGCCAAAGCTACTGAGATATGTCTGTCATGGATTTGAAATTAGTTACTGAGCAACACACTATCTCATTGTAAAAGGGTATCGTACGTTTTCCCTCTGGCAGGCAAGCCGACGGTGATGATCACAATACGGCCCGAATGGAAAAGCCGACCAGATTCGGTGCTGTACAGCTGGGCCGGGGCCAGTTCAGCCTTTTCCGGCAAGTCATGAATTGCATCGACAAAAATTGAGGATTTGCGACGGAATCGTGGGGAGTTGGCCACAATCTCAGCGGTGCTATATGGTGTCAGTTCAGATCCATCTTCAGCATCTCTAACACTAGACCGTATGCATGGCTCTTTCTTTTTACTTTTTCGCTAGCGCTGTCAAGCAGAAAGCATACAGAACACGTTTGGACTCTCAGGGAGAAAATATGAAACTGTGAAGCGGGAAAGGCAAGCTTACAGTAATGTGTCCATGGTGGGATGTCGAGGTGACGCAACCTTGAGATACCCCAAAATATCAGTATTGAGCCTGTCAGGATTATTGATGGATATTCCTGAGATACACCAGAGATATTTCGAGTCACGTCAGCCCGATGACAAGACAGGGGAGCAGGGAAGCAAGGAACAACAAGAAAGGGTACCTGAGAGGCGGTATAGGTGATCAAATCAGGACCCAGATAACTAGCAGGTGCAGATCATCGGTTTAGTTGCCTGGTTTTTCAGGCTGCAAAGTTCAAAACAGTCCGAACAAAAGCCGATTCAAGCGCAATTTAACGCCAAATGGAATGAAAAGAATGAAGCCCTTCAAAGATTCATTAATATCAGTTAGATCCTCCCAAACACTCCCAAACACCCCGATCACTCCCAATATCTCTCCCCGGTCTTGCCTTGAACCGGGAAAGTCCGAAAAAGCTTATGTAACATCCCGGGGAACGGGGAGCGACAGCAACCAAAGACGCCGAGGCAGGTGACTAGCATTTTTCACAGCTTGGAAAGTCTTGAATTGCTTTCCCTACACTCCTGAGCGCATCAGACCCAGCCCTTTTTACACTACTTTATCTAAGGTCATCTGAGACGTTTGTTCGTCCCAGATCCTCGGGCTGGTCTCAATCCCTTTTATTCTCAACTCTTTGTGATTTCCCCCGAGTCTCAGCTGAGACCGACTAACACGCGTGACGACACCTAATATATTCGTCAATTATCATATTCCAACCAAAATGGCCGATTACCTATCATCCCTCTCCTTCCTCACAGAGAACCCTGCTGCCGTGGCTATCAACGATGCATACTCCTCGTTCTCCGAGCGAAGGGCTTTGCTCAACCTGCCCAATCCCGGCACTGTCGATAACCTCGCCAGGGAAGTGCAGAAGGATGTTCTCTTGACCAACTTCATGTTCTCCGGTCTCCGAGCAGACCTGACCAAGGTCTTCGGCATGTCCCCTCTGTTCCGTGTGTCGCATGCGTTCTCTATGGGCTCAACCGGCAATCTGCCTCCATATGCTTTCTCCGCCATGTACGGAAGCCCCAGGGTAAGGACAACTATCCCATCGATCCGCGTCTCGGTCAATGCAATTCTCGGTATCTAACATATCCTTCTCCGATAGGTGTTTATGCAAGGTAACTACGGAAGCGACGGTGCGCTCGCCGCCGTCGCCAACTACCGCTGGAACCAGGCCCTCGTCACCAAGACCAATGCTCAGATCATGAACGGTGGTACCCAGGGCTTGGTCCAGATCGATAACGACTACACTGGCCGTGACTTCTCCGCGTCCCTCAAGGCCTTTAACCCCTCTTGTCTCGAGGGTGGTCTCACTGGTATCTTCGTCGGCAGCTACCTGCAGTCTATCACCCCCAGTCTCGCTCTTGGTTTCGAGGCTATCTGGCAACGCCAGGGTATCACCGCTCGCCCCGAGACTGCCCTGTCCTACTCCGCCAAGTATAAGGGTGATGACTGGATTGGTACCGCTCAGCTGCAGGCCCAGGGCACTTTCAATGCCACTTACTGGCGCAAGCTGTCCGAGCGTGTTGAGGCTGGTATTGACATGAACCTCCAACTCCAGCCCTCTCCCGCTACTCTTATGATGGGTGGCCCTGCCCGTGATGGTACCACTGCCATTGGTGCCAAGTACGACTTCCGTGCCTCTTCGTTCCGCGCCCAGGTTGACAGCACTGGCAAGGTCAGCTGCCTCCTCGAGAAGCGCATTGCCATGCCCATCTCTCTCTCCTTCGCTGGTGAGATCGACCAGTCCAAGGTAAGCAACATCGGTCTTTTTTTCTGATCCCAACCTCAATGCTAATTTATTTCTTTTTCTAGCAAACGGCTAAGCTCGGTCTTGCCGTCTCCCTTGAGCTTGCTGGCGAGGATGTCATGGAGCAGCAGGACAAGATTGACCCCGCCAGCATGATTCCTCCTCCCTTCTAGAGCTCTCCTCTCGCATCGCCCGAGATAATAACCCTTTCCCCCCCCCATGTTTTAGTAGTTCTTCACTCTCCATGTCTGGAATGACATATGTTGTCTCTCTTCCTCGGTATATCCTCCTGAATTTGGGTTGCTGGTGCAGATGGCCAGTTGTTTGGCGCCATGGAGATTCCACCTTTTTTTTGTATAGATTCACACTCCGGTTCTTTGATTTCCTTTTCCATTACCACCTGATGCTGCATCTCTGTTTGGCTTGTGGTCTGATATCTTGTGTCTCCTTGCTATCTTTCCAGTTCATTTCCTTGCATGGCCATGTTTCGGGTCTATGGGATTGCCAGGTCTGGGATGCATGGCTGCGCCTGCAGATAGCTCTGGTTATGTTTTTCGCATCATAGACGGGCCAATGTAAAACAAGTTTTGACTAAGTTGATCCAGTTGTAAGGAGTTCATTTAATCTGTCTTTAGTTATTCTCTTCCAAAGGCTTTGCCAGTGAAGGATGTCCACAGGTATGAAGTCAGGTCTTTGTCTGCCCAGTGGATATCAATGTATGTGTTGGCATTGCCATAAAAGCCCGGCCACTAGACATACATACAGAGATATTTGAATGAAATATAAATCCTTTATTAAGATA